AAAAAAAAAAAAAAAAAAAAAAAAAAAAAATTAAAATTTAAAAAATCACGAAGTTAAGAGCCATGGCTTGAGACCACCGGACCACCCACGGCAAGATCCCATTTCCTTGCCTGCCACTTAGGAGGGCAGGTTGGCGCAGGCGATGTCTCCACACGCAGAACCGCTTTGGGCCTGCTGCTCCCTGTTCGGTCCAGAACTCTACTCCGCCGCAGAAAAAAGCTTGAGTGAGATATAATTTGCCCAATATAAAATTTAAATACCACACGTTTAAAATACACACTTCAGAGTTGTAGCTGTCGGACAAGGTTGTGTCGCCATCCTCTTAATCTAATTTTAGCACATTTGCATCTCCAAAGAGAACTTCCTTCAGATGAACAGAGCTGTTCCCGGCAGCCCCAGGTAACTATCAGCCCGCCTTCTGTCTCCGTCTGTTTCCCTATTCTGGACATTTCCTACCAATGGGATCATACAGCGTGGGGTCTTTCGTGGCGACTGGCTTCGCTCACTCCGCATAATGTTTCCAAGGTGCGTCTAAGTGGGGGGTTATATCAGCATCACCCTCCTTTTGGCAACCGAACCATACCCCGTTGTGTGGAGACGCTACATTCTGCCTATTCATCCATCGGAACAGGCTGGTTCTTTCCATTTCTTCCCTTTTTTTTTTTTTGCTATTGTGAGTAATGCTGCTATGAACATTCATGTACATGGTTATATGTGTAAATATTTTCATTTCTCTCGGGTCTATACCTGAGGCAGCTTTGCTGGGTCACATGAGAATTATGTTTTTGGTTATTTTGTTTTTGTTGTACTGGCGATTGAACCCAGGGCCTTGGCACTGGGTTACATCTCTAGCCTTTTCTCTGCCCTACTCTCTCTGTCCCTTCCTTCCTTCCTTCCTTCCTTCCTTCCTTCCTTCCTTCCTTCCTTCCTTCCTTCCTTCCTTCCATTCTTCTTTCCTTCCTTCCATTTTGATACAGGATCTTGCGAAGTCACTAAGTTGCCTAGGCTGGGCTCAGACTTGTGAACTTGCAACCCTCCTGCCTCAGCTTCTCAGAGTGCTGGGATTAGAGCCCTGGGCACCACACCATGAAGTGACCATGTCTTCGAGGAACTGCTAAGAAGCCTATATGGCTGCTGAGAGTGTAAAATGGCACCATTCTACCTTCCCACTGGCAACACAAGAGGGTTCCACTTTTTTCACACCCATAGCAGCATCAGTGTCTTTTTGATGCTAGCCAGCTGCATGGGAACAAAGTGATATCTCATTGTGTTGATTTGCATTTTCTTCCTTACTAATCAGGTTGATCTTTTCTCGTGTGCCTGTTGGACCTTGTGTGCCCTCTCTGAAGGTAAGTCTGTTTGGATCCGTTGCCCATTTTCTTATCAGTTTCAACAGTTTGCTATATATATTCCTCATACAAGTCCCTTTTCCTGGATGATGTTATATTAAGCACAGAGTATTTTTTTTTTTTTAATCTTTGCTGATGTCCACTTTATCTGCGTTCTCTCTGGGCACTGTCAATGATGAATGCAAAGCCATGAATTACTTGCTCCTAAATATTCTTCTGCAAGTTTGATTGGCTTAGCTCTTACAGGTCGGTCTGCAGTCCATTTTGAGTTCAGTTTTGTGTGTGATCGGAGGTAGGGGCCAATTTTGCCTTTGGTGGGGAAATTCCCATAATTCACCAACACCGGCTAAGGGGAATTCCACACAGTGAATTCACGAATGGTGCAAACCTAGAGGTGATCTGAGTATTTCCTAAAGTCTTCTGGATCAAACAATTTGTGATTTTTAAGACTCAATTTATTCTTAGATCCGTAAATGTAAGAGGTTAAGCAATATAAAATGAAACCGCACAACGCTCTCAAATACCTGGGCTTGACCCTTCATCACTGAGTTAATCAAGTTAGCGGGTCATAACCCACATTTTTAAGAAGGCAAGCTGAAAGAACAGAATAGAAAGCAAACTATCAGAAGGTAACATCTGTGTTAAAGAAAGTGTTGCTTCATAATTTCAGTCGTGTGTGTGTGTGTGTGTGTGTGTGTGTGTAGCAGGAGTTGATGTAAAATGGATATCTTAACTGTGGGCCACATTTGTAAGTTGGGAAAACACTGTCTTCACTCCCAGTTGTAGAATTATTTCACTGCACAAGCATTTACTCTGTGCGCATCTTGTGTCAGGTCCTCTGCTAGGCACTGGGCTGACATGACAGCGAGCACATGGTCTCCACCCTGCCGCAGCACACATAGCGGTACGGCCCATGTGGGGCTCCCGCCACAAGGGACAGGGTCTGACTCAACTTTCTCCAACCGCAGGGATCCCTTCCAAATACTGGCATTGAGCCTCTTTTTAAATTTTTTTTCAATTAATGCTCAATGTTTATTTCCTTTGAGACTTATAGACAGGCTAACTTTTTCTTTTTCTTTTCTTTTTTTTTGTCCTTCTGAGACAGGGTTTTGCTATGCAGTTCAGACTGGCTTTGAACTCATTTTGTAGCCCAGGCTGGCCTTGAACTTTCAGCAGTCTTCCTGCCTCAGCCTCTCCAGCGCTGGAATTACAGGCGTGCGCCACCACACCCGGCCATGGTCCTTTCCCCCTGGAGTAGAACTTTGTTCCCAGGTTTATAATCCATGCTGCTTTTACTGGTTTGGGAAGGAAGTGCAGCTCTAGTAATGAGAGTTTCACTGCTTTCCACTTCACTGCAACTATATTGAAACTAGCCTCCCCCGATAGACCTCGGGTATTGAATAATACTGTTGTTACTTTTTAAAGGAGATGTTAAAGATCATAACAAATATTGTCATTTTCCAAGGGTTCCCAAAACACAGGGCCTTGCATGAATCGTGACTTTTAGGTGCTCTGCAGATGCAGTTAGGAAAGTCAATGTGATCCCAGCCGTCCAGTGGAATTGCCATTTGCAGTAGCCAGGTGCACTGACGGCCCTGCCATTTGCACTGCCTCTCTACCAAGGCATCATTTATCAAGCTCCAGCCATTATAAATTCCCAGAGATTTAGGAGATTCCAATTTAATTTAAAAAATCATAACCAGCTTGACACACTGGAAAGGTTAAATACACACCACACATGCACACACGCATATACTGTCACAGACGCATGCATTTTGTGAACAACTCTAACATGTTCACACGTGTGATTTTTAAATCCAGCTATGAAATTTTACCTGTAACTTCCCCGTTTTACTCTGAATTTTATTAAGGTCCTTTTCTGTGTTTATCAAATGACTACTCTATTGTTACGTGTTCTTAAATAACAAAGCCGAAGTTGTTACCTTCTTCTCAATTCAGATTGCTTGCTCTTTT